AATCACAATTTTTGTGCAACTCTTTTTATTTTTTCCTTTTTCATAACGATTGATGTAGGGAACGTGGTATGTGGAACTTAAAATATGCCGAGATTTACAATTTAGTTGTTGTTACGTCGAACGCACCAATGTTTATAATTTGCTTTTTATTCGAATTGAGTAGGTACACAAAGTTAAATCAATTAAAATTTGTTCGAAATTTTTTATGTTTTTTTTGCAAAGCAACTTCAACCAATTAGGTTAAGTGTAGCTGCGAGACTGCCACTAGGGTAGTGTTAAAGTATTGATGAAATATATATACACTATTCGTCTATTCCAAGTTGAGCATTAAAAATAAACGTGATTTAATCGCTGAGCTTTATATATGTAGAAGTGTGGGATATATATATGGACAACGGAGATGTAGAGTGGTAGCTTAAAAATGCAATGACTAAAGAACTAATATCTAAATTGAATTGTCTTCTTTAAAATTACTATATTCAAGATGAGAATAATTATGTGAAAAAAAAAAGAGAATAATTACTCAAAAGGTGTAGAGTCGACGATATCGCGTGGATGCTAGCTGCAACGCGGACCTTATACGGGTTGACTTTTATTTTCAGGTAAATATGATTTGAAAATACGTTATTATAAGTTTCAAAAAAAAAAAACGTTATTATAAAAATTGGTCCACTCACAGTTACACGTCTCTGAAAATTTTATATTAAAAAACTGTTTATATTAAATAAATGGTATTCAAAGTTATAGCATACTTGCATGCATCCGGGCAACACCGGCCACATGGATCGCCATAACAGCATTTACTATAACGATGGATGAGGAACAAATAATACATATATGGACTTTATTGTAATTCAATCAAAAGATTTCAAGATTGTGATTTTTCGAACACTACAAAAAAAACTTTCCAATTTTAACTATCAATTTGGTTTAAAATTGGTCAAAACAACTATTTCTGACTAATATTTGATCAAAATCGATTCGTCAAAAATGGATGGTCGCAAAAAGAATTTGGTCAGAAAATAGTCAAAACGTTTTGACCAACAAAAATGGTCAAAATTTTGGTTTTGATCAACAAAGTGATCAAAATTTTGATTCTGACCAATAAAATCGTCAAAATTTTTTGATCAATCAAAATGGTCGGAACTATATATTTTGACCAATTTTAAACCATATATTCTAACTAATTTTTGACCAACTTAGATATTTAAATTTTAGAACTATATTTTGATCAATTCGAA